CCGCTGCTGTCAACTGTCCAAGTATTTCCCATGGTGCCTTCCCATCGAATTCCTGTGGCTTCCTTCGCCCTGGATCACTCCTATTACTGACATTCATATCTGGGATGTGACTTCTAACGGGACTGAATATGTCTGCATTGGAGTTTAGCTGCGGGCTCTGTAAGGGGCTTGCCATTGTCTGGGGCTGATTAAGTCGATGGTCAATGTATCCTCCTTGTGTAACAGACAATAAATCGTTCTTTAACGTCTCTAATTCGCTTTTAAATTTACTAATGTTTTCCATTTGTACTTCTTGCCACTGTTGTTGACTTTCCTGTAGTTGCTGCTGACTTTCCTGCAACTGTTGGAGACTTTCTTCCTGTTTCCTTTCTTGTTCCAGTTGCCACTGCTGTAATTTTTCTTCTTGTTTATTTTGATGTTAGAGCTGCCATTGTTGTAGGCTTTTTTTGCCACTGCTGTAATCTTTCTTCTTGTTTCTTTTCTTTTTCCTCTAACAACTGCTGTAATCTCTCTTCTTGTTTAATTTCTCGTTCTTCTTGTTTCTTTTCTTTTTCCTCTAACAACTGCTGTAATTTCTCTTCTTGTTTTATTTCTTTCTCCTCCAACAACTGCTATAATCTCTCTTCTTGTTTCCTTTCTCGTTCTTCTTGTTTCTTTTCTTTTTCCTCTAACAACTGCTGTAATCTCTCTTCTTGTTTAATTTATCATTCTTCTTGTTTCTTTTCTTTTTCCTCCAACAATTGCTGTAATCTCTCTTGTTTATTTTGCTGTTCGAGCTGCCACTGTTGCAGGTTTTCTTGCAACTGCTGTAGTCTCTCTTCTTGTTTGTTTTCTTTTTCCTCCAACAACTGCTGTAATTTCTCTTGTTTATTTTGCTGTTCGAGCTGCCATTGTTACAGGTTTTCTTGCAACTGCTGTTGTCTCTCTTCTTGTTTCTTTTCTTTTTCCTCCAACAACTGTTGTAATTTCTCTTCACTTTCTTCTTGTTTTTTAATTGCTGCCAT